GTTCACCTCAGGGGTGGGGCAAATCGTCCAGTTTGCAAATCTTTTTAAAATTGATAAACAATACATTTTAAGGTACATGTGTCACTTGGAAAAAGTTGCGCAATTAGATGACCTTTCCAACAAGCTATTATAAAAGGTTTTTCATTAGTTTCTTTAGTTACTAGAGCCTTACAACTGCCCACATAGCACGACTTCTTGCTGGGAGGTTACTGTAACGATATCTGTAGGGTTTGTAAGGTTACCGTGTAAGCCTGCAGTAAACTTGAGGTCATCTTAAAACTTCCGCCTTACAGTAAGCTTACACAGTAAAGCTAAGGTAAGCTTACACAGTAAGGTCGTGATAAATTTATATGGTAAGGATGTGGTAAGCTTACACGGTAAGGTGGTTGTAAGCTTCCCGTAAGGTTACTATAAGGTTGATGTAAGGTTTACTGTAAACATAGAATGTTGTTAATAAATAAAATTTATTAATATTTATGCGCAGTAGTTTTCTATGGCACATACGGCTGCGCAGTAACTTTTATTTGACAAACCCTAAAGTACTTTACCAAATATATAATTTTTTATGCAAAAAAATTTATAATATAATATATATTATAATATAATTATTTTTAATATATTTTCATATTACTTTATATTAACAGTAACCTTACAGCAACCTTACAGTAACCTTACGGGAAGCTTACAACAACCTTACCGTGTAAGCTTATACCACATCCTTACCATGTAAACTTACCACGACCTTACTGTGTAAGCTTACCTTAGCTTTACTGTGTAAGCTTACTGTAAGGCGGAAGTTAAGATGACCTCAAGTTTATTTAATTTAATATACTTAGTTTGGATACGATTTGATAGAATTTTCTTTGAAAAACATTATTAAAAAGGAAAGAAATTCCTATAATTACTTCCAATAGGATTTGATTGAAACTTCATAGAATAATTTTATTGGAGTTGATACAATTTTTAATACTTAGTTTGGATACGATTTGATAGAAAAATTTACTGGGACAGCATGGGACAATTGTCGGATAGAATATGTATTGACAGGGATAGACTTTCTATCAAATTTCTTGATTGAATCTTATACAAACTACTGAAAATTTTTGATTCAAATACACGATTCAAATGGATAGAAATTTTTTTATATCCGTTCCTATCAAACTTTTTAAGCAGTATACTGCAGGCTTACACGGTAACCTTACAAACCCTACAGATATCCTTACAGTAACCTCACAGCTAGAAGTCGTGCTATGTGGGTGTTAACATGGCCGGTTTTCCCCAGTCTCCCCTAAATTATGTGACAACGCAAGTGTATAATGTAAATAAAACATAATTATAATCTAAACAATGGTTTTTATTATTTTATATATTTTTTTAAAAATAAATACAACAATTTTTAATTATTAATCGATTTTTAAATCTATTCTTAGAAAAATCGATTCTTTTGGAGAATTGGTTCTTTTAAATCGATTCCGATTCGATTCAAAAATCGATTTTTCATGAGAATCGAACATCCCTACTGTATTTCTGGAATGTTGTCTGCCATTGATGGAGTGGTCACACCTCGGCTGCAGGAGCAGTTGCCCATGGCAACCGTGTAAGAGTAAGAGAGATAGAAGATTTTCCATCTCTCTTACTCTTACATGGTTGCCATTGGCAACTGCTCCTGCAGGCGAGGTGTGACCGCTCCATGATGGTCGTGAACCGAGAGAGAGAGGTCTGATCCTGTATTCCTCTCCTTCTCTTGCTAAACTGCGCAGGCGCAATACAATACGTTCCAAAAGTTTACTGCTAACTGTGTTATGTCATGTTCACGTATCAAGAAGACTAGAACCAGGAGGGGAAACTCCGTTGTAAAGATGCGGCGTGACAAACAAGCCACTAGAAGGCGTGGCTTATCGTTCGTGCTTTGCTATTCAGACGAATTTCAGTGTTCTGCGCATACTTTCTTGACACTGATATTTGAAATGTAGCAGACGCTGTTTTTAAGTTTCTGTTTATGCGGTTATGGCAAATGGTTTACCCATAAATTTTTTGATGCGATTATATTTAATTAATTATATGTAACTAGCAAAATTAAACGCGCGCAAGCGCGCCAAATTGAGTGTTTAATTGTTTGTTATAAAGAAATTAAAGATTAATATTATCAATAATAATTTAATTTATTAGAATATTATTACATATTAAATGATAATAATGAAAATTATATGTTTACAAGCCTCGGATTATACGACTTTTTCTGACTTTTTTCAAAAATAAGACTTTTATCGACTTCTTTTAATAAAATGCGACATTTTTTTTAACATTTGAAAAAAATGTAAATAAAATACATTTTTCTAGTATAAAATGTAGATATTCATCATATCTTCTTCAATTAAATTATTTAACAAATTTTAAACTAAAATGATTCTTCACTACATTAATTATTTTTAATAATTTTAATGAAAGACATCACAAATTCAATTATATCAAAATTATTTTTCAATTAAAATTTTTATGAAATTTAACAATTGTTTATAATTTAAAAAAAAAATATCACAATAAAATTTAAATATTTTTTAAAAATTTCAATTCAAAATAAACTAAAATTCAATTATTACCCAAAATTTTAATTCAAAATCAATTAAAAATCCAATAATTATCCAAAATTTTCAATTTAATATTTAATTATTTACCAAGTTTTCAATTTAAAATGAAATAAAATTCAATTATTTTCTAAAATTTCTATTCAAAATTAATTAACCAAATTTTCAATCAAAAATGAACTTAAATTAAATTATTATCCAAAATTTCAATTAAAATTCAATTATTTCCCAAAAATTTTCAATTTAAAATCAAATATAATTTCATTATTCTCAAAAATTGGAATTCAAAATTAATTGAATTTTCAATAATTTGAATTTAAAAGCATCTAAAATTTAATTATTTCTAAAATTTTACATCGAAATTTTTTTTTTTTGAAATTTAATAATTTCAATTATAACTCTAAGGAAATTCAATTATTTTTAACTATTTTAATAATATTCTTTGAAAATTCAACTATCTGAAACCATTTTTCAAATTATTGTATTTTGTCCGCATTTTCTAATAAATTTTTAGTGAAATCATCTAAAATTTTAATTACAAATCACTTAAAGTTTCAATTAATTTCAAAAAATTTCTCAATTTTAAATCTTTGAAAATTCAATTAAATTTAAAAAATGTTTTCCAAAAATTGTTTGATAAATTATTTTCAGTTCTGGAAAATTTAATAATTGTTTGAAAATTAACAATATCTTTGAAATTTAATTATTTCTAAAAATTTCAATTTTAACCCTTCGAAAAGGATTATTATTAAAAAAAAAAAAATTTTATTTAAAAATCTGTAAAATATTTTTGTTAAAATAAAAAACAAATCCACTTTTTTTTGGAATATAAATCGACTAAAACGACTTTTTTGTGTCTTTAAGTTGATTCGAGGCCTGTGTTTTTATAATTATTATTTAATAGGTATTCGTTGGCACCTGGTACCTTAAAAATTAATTTTTAAAAATAAATGTTTTTCAAATTACTATCTTATACGAAATTTCCTGGCGCATCTTTTTTCTCATCATACATTTTTTGTACAATTTTTGAATCAATATACAACTTTAAAAAGAATTTCGTTGGTAAACGTTGTGTACTTCAGCTGGGCGATTCACGATTCGCCGCCAACTCATCCCCGTGTACCTGCTCAGCGGCAAATTTTCGTCCCCGTATGTTCCCCCACTACCGGCCGTTGATTGAAAATTTTGATAATAATTAATTTTGACTCGAAATTTTGAAAAATAATTGAATTTTAGTTGATTTTGAATTGAAATTTTGGGTAACAATTGAATTTTATTTGATTTTAAATTTAAAATTTTTGAAAATAATTGAATTTTCTTTGATTTTGAATTGAAATTTTGGATAACAATTAAATTTTAATTGATTTTTAATTGAAATTTTGGGTAATAATTAAATTTTAGTTTATTTTGAATTGGAATTTTTGAAAATAATTCAATTTTATTGCGATATTTTTTTAAAATTATAAACAATTGTTAAATTTTATAAAAATTTTATTTGAAAAATAATTTTGAAATAATTGAATTTGTGATGTATTTTATTAAAATTATTAAAAATAATTAATTTAGTGAAGAATCATTTTAGTTCAAAATTTGTTAAATAATTGAATTGAAGAAGATCTGAAGAAGATCTACATTTTATACTAAAAAAATGTATTTTATTAAAATTTTTTTTTTTAATGTAAAAAAAAGTCGAAAAAGTTGCCATCTGACTGAACGGAGGGGTACAGTACGGCCGGTAGTGGGGGAACATACGGGGACGAAAATTTGCCGCTGAGCAGGTACACGGGGATGAGTTGGCGGCGAAAAGTGGTCTGCCCCTTCAGCTTCGTGAATTGAATTTTCGAATTTGGAATTTTAAAGAAACTTATTCCGAAATTTGGAAACACAATTATACAACTTTGGCAAAAATAAGAAAAAGAATTGTGAAAATTTGACACGTCATAAGATTACTATTCAAAAAAACACGTGAAATCAGAAAAGGCCAACTTCAAGTTAGGACAGAAGGACAGACCAAGCATTTTATTATTATATAATTTACCTAACCAAGCAGACGCAAACATTTGCAGCTGCTTGCTACGAAATTTCCCCTTCAAAACCTACATGGATAGTATGCGCAGAATTCGTAAATTCGTTCTATTAGCAGTGCACGAACTTAAACGACACGCCCACCGTGTGCACGCTTACCATGCCACTACTCACTGCGGTAAAGCGTGGAAGTTTCACCTCCTGGTTCTAGTCTTCTTGTCACGTATACATACTGTTAAATATTTTCTAATGGACCTGTACCGACAAAGAGGAGAATACAAGAATCAGCCCTCTCTCTCGGTTCGCGACTTCCAATGGCAGACAGCATTCGTGCTCATTATTACTTCGTGGTGGGAACTTTGGCGAGTGGGGTCAATTCATTCAACTAGACAACCCTGTTACTATTGACTTATTTCACATCATCTCTTAGTCTTGTTTTATATCAAATAAATTTTATTTTTCAGGTGCATTCACGTGTTGGCTTGAAAAGTAATAGTTTTTTATTTAATGAATTACAAAGTGAATTAAAATAAAAAATTATCTAAAAATGAGTTCAGCAATTACTGATGACAAAGATGTGGCACAGATGCAAATTCGTTTCATTACGAAACAAGAGAAGTAAGTTAAAACTGAATATTTTTTATTTTGTTAAGGTTATGTTTTTAAATCAAAATATTTTGTTTTAGTTAATATTTTATAAAAATCGTGAACATTTTTTTATTCTACATTAGGTAGACAATATTTTAGAAAAGAATTAGCTTTTACATATTTAAACACAGGGATAACAGCGCTTTTTTTACTTAAAAAAGGTTAAAAAGGTGAATTATTTTCCGGAAATAGGTGACAAAAATATGTTAAGAAACAAAATTAACATACAGAATAACGAATTTCTATCCTATTAAAATTTGTCTTATTGAAAGTCTCTATCGAATTAATTGAAAATTTAGTGAATTCAATCTCTTTTTATCGAATATTAATAAAATTTTCTAATGAATTCATCTCTTTTAAATAAACTTAACTGTGAAAAAAAAATTTTTTAATTTTTAATTACAATTTTATAAACAATTTATATTTTTTATACTTTCTATAGTATAAGGATTATAATGAAATTTTTTTGTAACATACCTTGGACTCTTGTCTTTATATTCCTGAAAAAAAATTTGTATTTCCAATTATGACCGAAGATTTAAAATTTTTTTGCGCCGTTCACCGCCTGCCAAAGTGATTTCAAATGAAAAAGAAGGTTTCAAAACAGTACAGAGCCTACAAATCTCAACCGATTTTTGAATTTTTTTTTAAATAATCTTTAATAAAATTTTATATTAGGGTCAGTTGGGGTAAATGGGGACAAGAGGTTTTGGAGCTTAATTTACAGTTTTAAAGGGAAGTTCAACGTCAATATTTTAACCTCAGATCACCTGCAAGAGGTTTTCAGTATTGCCAAGCTTTTATCTTGATAATTGGCAGCAAGATAAAAAAAGTTATCGCTCAATGCATAAAAACTTGAAAATCAAAGTCAAACAGTTTCAGTATTTTGTCGAGCATTTCAAAGAAAACAGACTTAAAAATCATACCAAATTTTTTTTCTCATTCCTTAGGACTCCCATAATAGAAATTCACTTGAATTTTTTATTTTTGTCAATTTGGTTAATAATGACAAGCTGTCCCCATTTACCCTGAGTTTTCAAATTTTTTGGGTAATTGGAGACAGCTTGTCATTATTAACCAAATTAACAAAAATCAAAAATTCAAGTGAATTTCTGTTATGGGAGTCATAAGGAATAAGAAAAAAATTTGGTATGATTTTTAAGTCTGTTTGTTTTCAAATGCAAGACAAAATACTGAATTGTAAAAAAAAAATTCAAATGGTTCAACTATTATATATCTACTACAAATTTTTTTCAAGTTTTTTCATCCCTTAATACAGTAATATACTTAAGGCAACTTTTTTCTTAAAACTTTCTTAGAAACTATGCTGTCCCCATTTACCCCAAATTTTATAAAATTTTCTAAATTTTGGGGTAAATGGGGACAGTCAGTTTCATGTGTTCAAAGCTTATCTAAATTTTTTTCTACTGCATAAAATTAGTCCTGGGAACGTAAATAACAACTTAAAAAAAATAAACCCGTAAATATTACCATTTAAAGGAAGAAACTTACGTAATTTGTGAAAAATAACGATTTTGTCCCCATTTACCCCAACTGATCCTATATATATTACTCTTATTTTCAATAAAGTAAGGAAATTTTTTGTTGTTAGGTATTTACTCCACAGGATCTCTGAATTGTAAAATGTTGATATAGACCCATTACTAAATTGTTACAAACAAATATAAACAAATTGTTAATTTCGGCAGTGACATTAATTAATTTAAATTAAACTGATTACTCGGGGGTTTTCAGGGCCGCTGAACATGAATTTAATGTCAGTTTTTCAAAATGCAAAATGGCAGATTCAATATGGCGAACTAATTTATAAAAATCGCTTATTTAAAAAATCTACAAATTTCGAAATTTATATTAAAGATAGGTATTACAAATTAGTTCACCATACACTGAAAAAAAATAATAATTGAACCAAGAAAATTTTACTTGGTTCAAGAAAATCGTAGGACTGAATATGGTCAAATCAATTATGCTACTGTTTCAAGAAAACCATTTACTTGGTGCAGTATATTTGAAAGAAGAACATATGTTCTTGACTTAAGAAAATATGGAATTCGATCAAAAAGTTAATCGACTTCTATGAGTAAAAAATTTTCTTGTTCAAAGAATATCTGTAGTCAAATCAATTATTGCATTTGATTCATTTAAATCTTTGTAATGTTGGTTCAAGTAAGTAAAGATTTAAATCAAAATATTATTTACATTGTCAGAAGAACGCATGTTTTTGGTCCAAGAAAATATGTAATTCGTCTAAGAAGTTAATTGACTTCTAAGATTTGTAAAATATATTAAGTCAAGATCATATATATTTATATTAACTCAAGAAAATATATTCTTGACTTGAGAAAACTTATGGAGTTCAACCAAAAGAATATTTTTCCAATACAAGTAAATATTTACTTGAATTACCCCCCCCCCCCCCTCCTACACCCCTTCCTCATCCCACATGTCTAATTCTTAAGTCAAATATTTTTATTTATTATTATTAACATTCATATTTTTTATTATTAAAACTTGATTTAACCAAACAATAATCATATAGGAATTAGGAGCTAAATTAGTGTTCTTCAATAGCACTAAATTGACTTTTTAAAAATGCACTCCCAAGCATCCCAACCAAGTAACTGATAGAAAACCAAACACAAAAACTACCCTCAAATAATTCAAACTTAATATTTTTAAAAAACAAACACATACACATTTAGAGTTCTTAAAAACCATTTAATTAGATGTTCAAAAATGATCCACCAATTTCAAAAACTACCCCTGAGTAGTTCAAACTCAATTTTTTCAAAAAAAAAGTACTAAAGAATTTGGGGCTCATACTAAATAACAACATACTAAATTGTATGTTGAAAATTGATCCACCAATTTTAAAAACTACCCATAATTAGTTCAAACACAATGTTTTACAAAAACAAGTGCTTATGAATTTAGGGCTAATTTAAGGCTCTTAAATAGAACTAAATAAATGTTCAAAAGTGATCCACTAATTTTAAAAACTATACATGAGTATTTCAAACTCAATTTTTTCATGAACAATTACTTAGGAATTTAGGGATAATTTATGGCTCTTTACGAGCACCGAATTGGATGTTCAAAAATGATCCACCAACTTCAAAAGCACCCCTGAGAAAATCAAAATCAATTTTTTCAAAATCAAGTAATTAGAAATTTAGGGCTAATTTAGGGTTCTTAAATAGCACTAAATTGGATGTTCAAAAATGATCCACCAATTTCAAAAACTACCCCTGAGTATACTTCAAACTCAGTTTTTACAAAAAACAAGTACTTTGGAATATAGGGCTAATTTAAGGCTCATTATTATAGCACTAAATTGCATTTTCAAAAACGATCCACCAACTTCAAAAACTTCGCCTCAGTAGTTCAAAAATTTTTTTTTACATTTTTATATCGAAAATAACGATTTTTAATAAACAAATTAATTTTTTTAAACTGTGGAACCTATTATCTTTACTTTTTTTTATTTTTACATACCTGAAAATAGTAAGAATATTTTGCAAAAAAAAATTTCGAGTAGTCATCCAAAAAGGGTAATCAGGTTATCAGTAAAACATTTTGCAAAGTATTTTAGTAGTATTTCCATGTATGTAAATATGTAAAAAGTAAAACAACGGGTCTAAAGTTAAAAAAAAGTAATTTGTTTATAAAAAAAATCGTTATTTTCTATAAAAAAATTCAAAAATAAATTTTTGAACTACTCAGGGGTAGTTTTTAGGATTGGTAGATCATTTTTAAACATCCAATACAGTGCTATTTACGAGCCATAAATAAGCAAGTAATTCTTAAGTGCTTATTTTAAAAAAAAATCATTTACACTTGCTAAGGTAGTGTTTTTGGCATAAAAGCATTTAAGAGTTTTAAATAAGCCCTAAATTTTGACACCTAAAAGACCTTCCTAAGAGTATTCCTTCGCTTTTTAGACAAACTTAGATATCTTAAAAATTACATTTTTGCAAATATTTGGCGAAATTATGCCGGCATTAAATTCGGCAATAGAGCATTGCGGAGCCTTAAAAAAGCCCTAAGTTTTGACTTAAAGTAGATCTTTCTGAGAGTGCACCTTCATTGTGTGGACAAGCCACCTTAATGTTAAGCTAGCTTGTCCACAAATTTTTTAAAGAAAATGCCGAGCATTAAATTCGTCATTAGGGCATTAAATTAGCATTATATTAGTCCTTAATTTTCAAATAGGTTTTATCCAGATCAGACAATGTGGACAAGCCAGGTTAACGGACCTCGCATTTTCTTGACTCAAGACTATATTAGAGTTGAATTAAATAAAAAATATTTTCAAGGAAACAAAAGAAAGATTTCATTCAAGATTATATTACTATTTCAACTAAAAAAATCAATTATTTCGTTTAATATAATATAATATTATTTCTAAAAATTGAATGTTCTTGAAAGAATATAATATGAAAATGCTTCAAGTATATTAAACACTTAGATTGATTAATGTTTAATTCAAACAATATATTTTTTAATCAAGTTGAAACAAGTATCTACTTCTATTAATCATTCCATTTTCTTGGATCAAGACTATGGGTGTTAGATAAAGTAAAAAGTTGTTTTGTAGGAAACAACAAAACGATTTGACCCAAGAAAATAAAATACTCAACGTAAATCACTTGACATGAGAAAATAATATTCTTGACTCAATTCTTTTTCTGTTCTTGACGCAAGTAAAACATTTCGCTTGAAACAGTAAGATATATTTACTTGTATGAAACTCATATTTTCTTATTTCAAGAACATTGCTCAATGCTCAAAATTACTTGACTCAAGAAAATAAATTTCTTCCAATAAGAAAATATCGTCTTGTTTCAAGTAAAGTACCTCAAGTAAATGCATTTACTTGATTCAATTAACTTTTTTTTCAGAGTATTGGATTCGACATTTTGCATTTTGAAAAACTGACATCGAATTCGTGTTCAGCGGCCCTGAAAACCCCCGAGTAATCAGTTTAATTTAAATTAATTAATGTCACTGCCGAAATTAACAATTTGTTTATAATATTTGTTTGGGATTTGTAGGCTCTAGACTGTTTTGAACCCTACTTTTTCATTTCAAACCACTTTGGCAAGCGGTACACGGCTCAAAAGAAAATTCAAAATCTCTGGTTATAATTGAAAATACAAATTTTTTTTCAGGAATATGAAGACAAGAGTCCAAGGTATGTTACATAAAATTTTCATTATAATCCTTGCTATAGAAAGTATAAAAAATACAAATTGTTTATAAAATTGTAATTAAAAATTAAAAATTTTTGAAATTTTTTTTTCACAGTTAAGTTTATTTAAAGAGTGGATATTTACCACATTTACTAAAGGAAATCATATTTTTTCATTAATGTTGTTGGTACTGAACTCAGAAAATCGTCGAGTTATTATTTATTTCACATAAATAAATTGAATCTTAAATTATTTCAATTTAGAGTTTATCTAAATTAGAATCAATTGATCTGTTTGATGTTTGTGTCCAGCACCTCAGCTTTCGATTTAAAAAAATCGTACCTATTATCGGTAGAGGTTAATTGTTAGATTAAATGTTAAAAAATGTCATGCCCTTGAAAAATTGGCACACGAACTTCGACAAACGGTGATTTTGCTCAATTGACTTTTCAAGACAATTTTTTTCAAACAGTTTTTTTTTATAAAAATTTTAAGTATTAAACATTATTAGAGGAGAGGGCCCCAAGATGGATATAGTTTTGATTTTGTGCTCTAGAATTCAAACGTTTTAGGATATTTAAAAATGGTGCATACCGTATGAAAGTACAATAAATAAGGTATCCTTTGGCCATAAAGAAAAAATTTTAATTTGCAAACAAACATTTTTTAAACAATTTTTTCAAATTGTTGTAAATTTCGATTTGAAAAAAAGTGTCCCCAAGATAGACCCCTATTCATAAAATGCATTAAAAAACGTGTAAAATAAAAATAAAATATCAAGTAAGGATTTTTAAACCAATTTTCTGTTTCTTTATTATATTTTTTAAAAGTTTTAACATTTTTTAAATGTTAAAATTTAAATAATATTGTAAGAAAATTAATTTCAACGAGAATAATTAAATTAAATTAATTTATTTAATTTATCCAATCTAATTTATTTATTTTATAATTTATTTAATAAGAGATTAGTTATTTTATAATTAATTAAAAGAAATTAACAGTAAATCCAGCTCTAAGCTGAATTGTTTGTCACAATTCGGACATTTGTACCAGGGTCTGCAGATTTTGGCGCACTTTAAGTGCACTTTTCTCTGACAGTTATGGCACACAATCATATTCTCTATTGATAACAACACAATTTCGAAGTAGAAAAAGAAAAAATTTCAATTATGAGGCTTAGAGCATTATTAAGAAACTGTAACATTGAAAATAAATAAAATTAAAAATTAATGTGTGATGTCCATCTTAGGGCCACCAGACTGTCCATCTTAGGAGCAATGACTCCATTTTTTTGGCGCAAATAAAAATTATTTACAAACACAGTGTCAACCGAATCATTTTAGAATACTATTATATGATAAATAAATGAGGTTATTACGATATGCACCTATTCGAAATTAAAAATATGGATAATTTTACCGACTAAAATAAAAACTATTACAAAACTTTTTAAAACGAAAAATCCACGTAATATGTGTTACAGGAAGAAAAATAATTCTTTCCGATCCGTGTTTATATAAAAAGCTTCATCTAAACAAACTAAATCAGTAAAAAAAAATCACGAGGCGATATTTATACTTATACGAAAATTTTATATCAAATGTCCATCTTAGGGCCCTCTCCCCTACATTTTTGTCCAAATATATGAAATTATATATATCTAAGTTAGATATAAAATTACCTTGATCAACTATTATTATTAATTTTTTTCAGGTATACTGTGCCAAATTATCCACTATCAGTTCCAACTACAGTTGTAGGAAGTGACTTAAATATTTTAGTAAACGAACTTTTAAAAGGTAATAACTTGAGTTATCTAAATTAACTAATTGAATAATATAATATTTTAATAAATTAAAGTATTGCTTCATCATGAAGGATGCATTGTAATACCGATATTTTTTGAACTCGATTTTTTTATGTATCTTTGTTTTTTGACCTCAGGACAAATAATGAGAGTACTTTGAGCCATATTAATAAAGATTAACTACACTGAAAGAAATTTCATAGGAAAAAATAACAAAATGCGTATTACATTTTAATATATTCTTTTAGAATTTAGGGAAAAGTGTACTTTTTATTAAAATTCAATATACTTTATATTAAAGTTCCAACTTAAAATCTTTTTTCAAATATTAATAATTATTGTAGAAAGAACGTAAAAAGATTACCAATATTTGAAAATATTATATTAAATTCTCATAGAGTTGTTGCATTATATGGAATGTAGCGTTCTAATATTTGTAAAACTTTATACGAAAAATTCAGAATGTCGGAAGAAAAGGGAAAAAAAGTGGAAACTCGGACGTTTCCGTTAATTCTCGGGAGGAAGAGGAGTGAGACTAGGAACAACACATTCACACTTACGATACAGGTTAATACACATACTAATGAACACGCACGTTCATTTCGCTTATACATAGACATTACACGATCGCAACGAAACCTACACTTACAATTCTACACGCATAACGATAAATTTCGCTGGGGGTCGGCATATATCGTTTTCTTATATACTAACTACTGAATATTTTTACCACTTGCGAGAAAGAAGTTTACTTATAATAACTTAATAATAAAAAATAGTTTACTAGTGCCAATGGTGTAATTTTATGGAGGTTACGCTGGGTTCATTTTTATTATTAATTGTTTATATAGATTTTTCTTTTTTTTCAAATTAAAAATTATGATTGTTATAAAAATTTTTATTGCAAATAAAAATTAAATAATTGTAAAGATGACATCAAAAAATAAAAATTAATAAAAATAATAATAAATTTAATAATTAATAATAAATTTATTATTATTAAATAACTTTAATAAAACATTTTTTATAAATTGAAAATAAATTTAAATTAAAAAGAATTTAAAACACTATAAACATTTGAAACACGTATGTTGACAGTTGATAGGTACGTTCTGCTGGTTAACAACACTTTCGAAAATCGGATCAAGTCGTAGAAGTTCGAGTAGGACACGAAGCCGCAAACAGACAGAACTTCGGTTAAATTCGTAGTCTCTCGGGAAAATCCGTGACTTTTAATATAAAGTTTTACAAAATGTGAAATAAGTATACGGATATATGTTATTTTTCTTACTATTTTGTGAAATTATTTATTATAATATTTCGTATTCTGTGAATTCATAAAGAAAATACTAATTTTTAAAATAAATATACTAATTCTTTTTTCTTAAAATAATAGTTACTCTTAAATTCATTATATATTTTCATAAAAACTGTAATAGTAATCAGTATAGGTGCACTTTTTCCCTAAATTGTAACATTTATATTAAACTCTAATATGAGTTTAATACTTAGTAGTATGAATTTTCTTTCAGTGTATCTATCTATTATGTTTTTGCATTTAAAAATTTTTGAAAAATCGTTTTTTGCTTATAACTTTAAAAAAATATTAGGACACCTATGAATATTTTTCTTTAATTTTGTAGAGTTTTTTAAGACGCATCTTTTGAGCCATTAGCGAACATTCTACTGTTATTCTATTCAAAGTTATTGAATTTTTAGGAATTAGAGAAAAACGTTTTTGCCTACAACTTAAAAAAAATATTGACACCAATAGATATTTATATCTACTTTTGTAGAGTTTTTTGAACAGCATCTTTTGATTTATTAGCAAATATCCTACTGTTAATTTATTCAGAGTTATTAACATTATGAAATTGAAAATTTTGAAAAACCAGCCTTTTTTTGCATTATTTGTTAAAAAATCTTTTTGTAACTTTAAAATTACTATGAACGATTTGGAAAATATCTAAAAATTCAATTGACCTATTATTGAACCTTTTATTATAAAATATTACGAAGTTATTGATGTTAAAAATCTATATCTGCAAACGCCCAAAAAATACAACTTAACATAATCTATATATATAATCTGATGTCTGTCTGTACATTGATTTAAACTTCAAAATTTTGACATAATTTGGATTTATGTACACTACCGCCGATAATTGTCGGTACGATTAACGTGCGAGGAGTGGAAATTCGGTGCGGACTTTAAAGCAATATATTTTAAGTTAGAAAAAAGTTGAAGGTTTCTCACTTAGATGGTTGGAAAGCTGATAAAATTCTGCTTCTCAATGTATACCAAGAAAATTTTTTTCTTTTTTTGCTTCCTCGTGGAGGAAGCTTTGTAGTCCTTTCGTTTATAAAACTTTTCAAAGTGGCGGAAACAAATTTTTTTTATTTATAGAAACATGTTATATGAGATGCAGATCAATTGTCCTTATGTATGTATGTGTGTATGTGGATCCCTTGTTTGTTTAGAAGATAACTTTAACAGGTTTTAATGGATTTAGATAAAATTTGGTAGGCTCATTTATCATATTAATATCTCAAATCTGACCAATGGATTTTAAAAAATACCCAAAAAAAAAATTTTTATCGTCTTTTTTCCAAAAAATTTTTTTTAATCGAAAAAATTTTTAAATAGAAAAATTTAAGGTTATATATAATAAAATTGTATTCCTTACATCAACACGAATCGATCGATATATATAAAGTATACATTTGAGGTAAATTTAAAGAATTAATGAAAGTTAAAAAATCAAAAATTCACATTTTGGCAATAAAATTTTGCTTTCTTCACGAGGAAGCAAATTTTTTTGCTGATCGTAAAGAGGAAGCAAAATGTTCATGTAATGAACATCTGAATTTACAACTTGTTTTGTATTTATAACACCGAAAAGATTTCCAGAAAAAATTATGGAATTTTCGTACTTACGTACTAATGTTTTTGACTTCCGGCATAATCTAGAAAAATGTATGGAAAAATTTGACAATTTTACAACATTATCTTTAAGATCTCAGCTTTAATTTGCATTTTTGAAACTTAAAAAATGTTTTGTGGTTCCTGAAATATCTTAAAAAAGGTCCGAGCATGTTTTCCTACAACTCAGCCGTCAATCATCACTTTTCGCCGCGCCTCGCTGCTGGGTTGTAAAAAAAACATTTTCGATCATTTTTTAACATATTTCACGAACCACAAAACATTTTTTAAGTATCAAAAAGGAAATTAAAGCTAAGAACTTAAAGATTGTGTTAAAATTTTGAAAACTTAAAAAATGTTTTGTTGTTTCTGAAATATATTAAAAAATGTTCGAGCATGTTTTTCTACAAGCCAGCAGCGAGGAGGCCAAAAGTGATGATGGACGGCTGAGTTGTAGAAAAACATGCTCGGACCTTTTTTTAACATATTTTAGGAACCACAAATCATTTTTTAAGTTTCAAAAATGCAAATTAAAGCTGAGATCTTAAAGATTATGTTGTAAAATTGTCAAATTTTTCCATACATTATTCTAGATTATGCCGGAAGTCAAAAACATTAGTACGTAAGTACAAAAATTGCATAATTTTTTCTTGAAATCTTTTCGGTGTTATAAATACAAAAAAAAGAAAAAAATTTTCTTGATATACATTCAGAAGCAGAATTTTATCATCTTTCCAACCATCTAAGTGAGAAACCTTTAACTTTTTTCTAACTTAAAATATCTTGCTTTAAAGTCCGCACCGAATTTCAGGTCTGTTAAGCTGGCACCACAAGTTTGATATTTTTAAATATCTGCTGTGTGAGAATTTAGGGCTCCATTAGGGCTAATTACCGCTCAAAATGAAAAATTGACCGCTCTTTATTTTTTTTAAAAAAAGGCGGTTGGTGCTACCTTAACGTTAAGCTGGCACCAACCGCTTAAAAAACCAAATAAAAAACGAGATATTTAAAAATCCACCCTGACATAATTTAGGGCTTATTTAGGGTTTTCAAATGTAAGTAGAAAGAAATTAAAAAAAAATTTCTAAATCGAAAAAAAATTTTCATTAGGGTTCCGTACCCGAAGGGGGAATCCTATTAATGAGACTAGTGAAGCAAGGTATGTTTCCCCCCCCCCCTTAGCGGCCACACGAATTTATCTAGAGGACTGAAATTTGGTACACATATGTATTTTGGCGTGTAGATTAAAGGGAAAATATAGCGAATCTCACAGGAATTGATTATCCTAGCATTGTCAAGGAAAAACCATGAATTTTTACGAAAAATCCCTAAAAATGACTATGTACTAGCTAAGAGTTAAGGTAGCACCAACTCTTAAAAAAAATCGAACAAGTGCAAGTTACACTCGCATTAAAACCGAGGGTTCCGTACCCTTAAACCTAAAATTTAAGGGGGTTAAAGTGTGAAGGCAGGTGGAAAAATTCCATTTTGCTTCCTCGTGGAGGAAGCTATGTAGTCCTTTCGTTTATAAACTTTTTAAAAATGGTGAAAACAAATTTTCCTCTATATAGAAACATGTTATATGAGATCCTGATCAATTGTCCGGATGTATGTATGTGTGTGTGTATGTGTGTGTGTGTGTGTGTGTATGTGTGTGTGGATCGTTTTTGTGAACACGATATCTTTAACAGGTTTTAATGGATTTGGATAAAATTTGGTAGGCTTATTTAACACATTAATCTCTCAAAAATGACGAGAGGATTTTTAAAAATACCCCAAAAAAAAAATTTTATCGTCTTTTTTCCAAAAATTTTTTTTTAATTGAAAAAATTTTTAAATCGAAAAATTTAAGGTAATATATAATATAATCGTCTTCTTTATGTCAAGATGAATCGATTGATATATATATAAAGTATAGATTTGATTGAAATTTAAAGAATTAAAGAAAGTTAAAAAATCAAAAATTCTCATTTTAGCTAAAAAATGATGTGTTTATTTAAATTCATGTTTATATATGAAATAATTTTATTCCCTGCATTGAAACGAATTGGTTGGTATATATAAAGTAT